CAATAGATAATAAAGGAATTAAATTACAACCTCATATATCTAAAAAGATCGGTAGTTTTCCAAATAAATTAGAATCCAAAGAACAGATACAAAATTTTTTAAGATGTCTAAATTATACAAAATGATTTATTGAAAATCTCTCTAAAAAGAGATAAAGACAATTTATGAAATTTCACACATATAATTTCGATTTTACCCTAATTTGTCTTGTAAATAGAGAGTTGTCATTTGCATTTTATCATTACCATCATAAAATGAGTGAAATAGTACAAAAGATTGGGGTGTATTTTTCTCTTATTTTTCATCATAGTGAATTACTACAACAATGAGAAAAATGGGGTGGTCTTACATTGAGTTTCAATCTCACAAAAAATGCAATATCACAAAGTGTAACCCTGGCTCATAGTGGCACATGCATAGGTTAATTATTTCATTAATCCATGTGGCAAAGTTTGTATGGTTATCAATTTTTTATACGTGCTTTATCTTTGTGGGAAGCGCAGTGTGAAGAACTAAAGAAAAAAGAACAAACAGTTCTTTGAGAATTACTAGAAGATGTTCTTGAAGGGGAAACAAGTCCAAGAATCTCGAAAATTTTATTGGATGTTCTACTTCCAAACAAGAACAATTGATGGTGAATGACTAGTTTCATTTGAGTTAGACAACCATATGAAGCCCTTGACTTTAGCTTCCTCAATTTCACTTGTGATATTATTCAATCGATAAGGCCCTATTTGATACACATTATTTTTTTTATTCTCATTCTTTTACTCATTTTCAACTACACATTCTTCAATAAAATAATATTTTCCATCACATCAAAAACTTTTCCTTCATTTTTAACCATACATTTTTCATCAATCTACTATTCAATAATACATTCTTTCAAAATAATGTGTTCCAAACACACTCTAAATATGTTCGAGCTTTCTTGCATACATTGTACAATCTATAAGAAATATATAGTGGAAGTTAACTAGAATAATGGTTATTACTAAAAGATAATTTTTTGTGCTATCACAAATTTTCATTTTCTGCCACATCCAACCATTGTTCGCGACATCAGCATATGTGCAAGTAGAAGGATGTAGGTATGGATGAGAAGAATAATGCTCTTTGTACATTCCAACTTTAACATTGAGTTTGACATTTGTGTGTATATTCAAAAATGCTTTGGCGGGAAAGTATGTTAAATTCAAAAACTGTCCAATGAAAAAGTGCCACGTTGCACAATGTAAAACTTGTTGTCAAACTTAATGTACTTCTAGCATGATTCGGATGAGAATCATATTTGGAAGTTAAATGGCAGATTTGAAACAATTTAAAGTATAGGGACATAATAGAAACATGGGTGGAAGTTTAGAGACACAAGATAATTTAAGTCAATTTCCTTTCAATTGGCAGTCTGTCAAACCCTTAAAACCCTTTGTCTCCACCAAATTCCTGCTAAACCCTGTAAACCCTATCGCCATGATTACTACGAACCCTACAACTGCTAAATTCACCCACGGTCACCTGCCCCGCACCCTTTCACTTCATCCCCACGGCCTAAATTTCTCCAGACCCTTCTCTTGCCTCTCCTTCAGCATTCCCCGTCGACCAATTCCCCCTTTATCCTACAAACATATCAAAGCCTCCATATCAAATCCTGGAAACCATAATAGACAACCGAAGTTCTTCAATTTTCCAATTTTTAACCCAAAAGGGCCAAAATCCATTGTTCAGAATTCACATTTTTCGTTTTTGGGCCCACTAGAAACGACCCTTATTTCCACCATTACTGCTTTCTCTCTCTTGTTTTTCCAGTTTTACTTTACTCACAAATGTGCCATTGCTGCTCCAGTTTTATTGCCGCCCACTGTGGAAACTACTACAAAAGATGCGCCTGCAGATAAAGAAAGAGAGAAATTCCTCGAAGAACAAGTGTTTTCGAATCCATATGACATTGACTCACTCAAGAACTTGTTGGAAATCAAATTCAACTGTAGAAAGTTTCCTGAAGCAATTGGCGTTCTCGACAAGTTAATAGAGCTCAAGCAAGAGGAAACCAAGTGGCTTTTGATGAAAGCCCATTTCTATATTTATCTTGGAGATAATGAGTTGGCGAAATATGGATTTGGTGAATTATTAAAAAAGGACCCTTTTCACGTGGAGGCATACTCCAGGTTGTTGATTGACGCCTCACAGGAGGAATCTAGCAAGAAACTGGAAGAAATTGAGAAGAGCGTCGAGGAGGTAATGAATGTGTGTAAGAAGAAGAATAAGAAGTTTGAGTTGAGGGAATTTAAGCTGTTGCTAGCGCAAATTCGGGTTATGGAGCGTAGATATGACGAGGCCTTGAAGGTTTATCAGGAGTTGGTGAACGAGGAGCCGAGGGATTTCAGACCGTATTTGTGTCAGGGCATAATTTATACATTATTAAGGAAAAATGTTGACGCGGAGAAGAATTTTGAGAAGTTTAGGAGATTGGTCCCTAGAGCTCACCCTTATGCCAGGCACTTTGAGGATGACTTGATTGCGGCCAAGATTTTTGGTCAGAAAATGTAGAATGAGAGGGCTGCAGCAAAGGGTTAAGAGTCATTTCCTTTGATAGTTTAATGGTGCCATTCATTTCTTATGCCCTCTACGGGTGATTTATTTTGTCAATGTTTTTTTTTCCTCATCGACAGTTGATACTGTCTTTAATATTGGTTTAGAAGGTAGGATTTCATATGATATTTTAGTAATTCGGTGGATATTGATAGAAATTGGAATAATTTGGAAATGATTTTGTGGCTTGGTAGGAAAATAAGGAGTTTTGATTCCTTGAACTATATTGATACTATTTTATGCCAAAATTTATCGACAAAAGGTTGTTACTTTTATGCTGCTGTGTGATGTTAGGTGATCAGTAATGATACACAGGATGTCAAGGAAGCTGACTTGATTTGGTTACAGGTTTATAAGAAAGACAGAATTATGGTCCATAAAGAGTTCCGACAGAGCTATTACCAGTCTCATTTTCTTTCATAATCCTCTGTTTGGGAAGAATTTTCAAACAGTTTTATAAATAGATAGAAATGAACAGTGTATAAGTTGATAGATTTGTGGGTCCATTGGACCATTGGTTGAAATGAAGTTTGATCATTTATAACTTGAGCCTCAATTGTTTAACTAAGTTGAATCAAACTTGACAAAATTACTATGTTCTCATAGTTTTTATGCACATATTGGTTTGTGCCTTGTAGTTGTAGTATTTGTTACTAGCCTGTGTTGCAGTGATTTATTTTCACCTATCAATTAACATCTCCATGTCATGCTATTTTTACTTTGGGGATTAGAGCACCGAATCTATGCAGCAAGTCTTGTGCAATTTGGAACGACAGAGCACGAGGTTTTAACAGTAGACTATGTTGTAGCATGAGGTTTTAACAGTAGACTATGTTGTGAGAATATGATCTACTGTCCACTGTTACTTATCTTATGCTGTGTAAAGCTACTCACCATTTTGCATTACTGACTTGTCAAACTTCTTCTCATTCTATTTTTTGTTGATGTTCACTCATTAATTTTGTGCTGTCGTGTCTCTAGCACAAGTTTATTGAAAATCAGGCTTAGTAGGTCTATACATTTGTTTAGGCATTTCTGTCGCTATACAGCCCTATTTAGCAAGTGGATTTATGAATCAAATTTGGACTTTTACTGTCGAAAAACGAAGTTTTTAAACCGTCATAGAAAATGTTCTCTATGTATAGGGGTGCTGGTACAGCTTTGTCGTACTGCCTTCCACACTATGTTTTCTACTCTAATGACACCTATGCTTGCTTGAACTATGTTTGAATTATTTATATTCGCAGCTACAAAATACCTGTTAGAGGGTGGCTCCAGGGGTATGAGAGATTAACTTTGCAAGTTATGTTGCCTACAATTTTTTGCTGGGTTTCGATTTAATATGTCTTTTGCTGGAGTATTGTTAAATATGTTTCCTCTTAGAGACTCTTCGCTAGTTCTTTACATCTCAAATATAGCAATATAGAAACTGCCCGTTACACTGTATGCTTTCTAGTGGCGTCAAACAGGGCTGGGCTATCCAGTCTCATGTTGGGCGATGAGCTCTCCTACTTTTGAAGGTGTTCTGTGCCACTTTGTCTCTCGACAACTGAGCTGGGCAATGAGCTCTCCTACTTTTTGCTGGGTTTCGATTTAATATGTCTTTTGCTGGAGTATTGTTAAATATGTTTCCTCTTAGAGACTCTTTGCTAGTTCTTTACATCTCGAATATAGCAATATAGAAACTGCCCGTTACACTGTTAGTATGTTTTCTAGTGACGTCAATCAGGGGTGGGCTATCCAGTCTCATGTTGGGCGATGAGCTCTCCTACTTTTGAAGGTGTTATGTGCCACTTTGTCTCTCAACAACCAAGCTGGGCAACACCTCTGATTAGAAATGATCTCCCACCCATAGTTTGTGGGATAAAATATGCCATGTCAACGATAGGCAAAATAACTCCTATTCACTGTAGAGATCGAAGAGCACTTATTAGCAACTTCAAACCAACTACAAAAATAAATGTGCAAGAAAGATAAAAATAGTAAAAAGAACACAAGGAATTTTCGCCCTAAGGCAAGAGGTTTGGAATAAATCATAATCCCCTTTTGAGCTTTCGCCAACAGGAAGATATCACTATATTAACTAATGATCAAAGTCCGTTCAAAGTTACACCAAGGCACTCAACAAGAATCACTCAAAATATCTTCACAGGAATGAAATCCTCACTAATAGAAAACGGAATCCGCCCAAGGATACAAAATCAGCTCACTACAAATCACTCAAGAGATGTACTCAAACTATACAACAATCGATTTAGAAGATATTTCAATTTCAGAGTGCAAAACAGAAGAATGGCGCAAGAGAGAGCAAAGAGTTCGAGAGAATGAACAGTCGAGAGAATGAGAGATTAAGCATCGAAAAGTCCAACCCTAGACTTTAAGAGAAGTCTCCAGAAGAGTCAACATCCAATGGATATTGGGACGACACTTGGTGGCATCTCCACCGTCCAGATATAAGTAAAACGCATCCAGCTAAAGTGCAAAACCAGAAACACGCTTTCTATCAAAACAGTCTAGCCCAACAGTCATCAATTAAAAACCAGATTCAGTCTAATTAATCAGCAAAGGCCTATCATCATTGTGCCACTATCTCTACAATCTCCACCTCAGTAGAATGATCTCAGTTTTATCTATAGTGATTTCTCCATTATAGCATCATTTGCTCTTATTACCTGATACACAAATCA